AAAAAATCCTTACATGATTGGAAAAAAAATGAATATTTTTGAAATCTGTATAGCTGAATTATGTAAAATCTATTATTAAAACCAAAACACCTTTTATGAAGTTTAAATTTGCAGGCCTGTGTTATTCATTTAATGCTTGACAGAGGCTCTATGCTAAGCTCGAGGACTTTTAACGTTCAAGTTCAAGGTTCAATACCAATAGTGGGTAAAAGACACTCCATTATGTATTTTTGAAAACTATTGCTTTCTTAATAAAAGTAGCTTGTAAAGATTGCAAAAAAAGTAGTTTAACCCAAAACAAATATACGTACTTGTAAATACATTTTTATTTTAAATGATTGAGTTATAGAACAAGCTTAATTGAGATGAAAATAAGCTCGCTGCTGTAAAAACAGGCCATTGAAAAACTGACTTAGATATTCTTTTACACACACGCATATATGTATATATAAAATCAACACTACTTGGTGTTTATTTTGTTTTCACACAGGAGATGCAGTGCAATTAATTTTTATCATACACATGTAGGAGATTTTAACTCGAAATTAATATTTCTAATATCTTAAACTCTTCATCTATTAACATTTCTACACACACACACACACACACACACACACATCTAAGCATATGCCTTTAGAAGGTTCTCTTTAGCAAAGTATGCAATCACATCTCTAACAGTTTTCAAAACAACAATCCTCCAGTGGCCCAACAGCAAGCTCGAGGACTTAAAACTTTATAATTTGGTAATCACTATCCATGACAAAAGTTCAAATAACTCGCAGTTCAGATTTGGAATAAAACTAAACAAAAACAAAGAGCACCACATTCTCACCTGAAAAATATTGTATAGGTAATCCTGCATTTGTAACATGTTTGACTTTTTCTTGAAGTTATGTAGCAGTTTAATATTTTGCTGTTTTGAAACAGCTACAATGAAAAAACAATATAATTACCCGAAGAGCCACATGTGTTTGTCTCCGTCTTTTTCTGACTGATTCCGGCAGATGATCTAACACGATGGACTTTCTACCAAATGGATGATGACTCAGTTCACTCTGTGTTCTTGAAAGACCATGTGAGGATTTGAAATGATCTCCTTTCTGCTGGTGGAATTGAAGCAAAGAATCAGGACTGGAACTCTGGCGGGAATGTGTTGGAAACAACCGGATAGCATGCTAGGCATCACATAAGACAATGCTTCAAATTAAAACCTCTGATAATTGCTTTCAACTGCTACTTCCCCTCCACCATTAGAGCATATAGTTGTTTCACTGGAATTTTAGGCAGAGTAAACATAGCAGGTTTAAGAACTTTAATGGACATCAGTGACCTGTGAACAACAACACTCAACAAACTTTGAAGATAATATGTCACAGTCCTACTGACAATACCCACCAATCACCTCACCAGCTCAACCTACACAGTTGGGAGCTTCACTACAAGGCTGTACTTACCTTTATAAGACACTATTCAAGTACTTACAATAGAGGCTGGAACACTGTTACATTTTCATTGAACAGGTATTTGTAGTCCATTAATGTTTTAACCTACTATGTTATATAATTAGCCTTATAAATACATATCTTCAATAAAGTATACCACCTCAGAGAAAAACAAAAACAGAATTCATCATTTCTCCAGTTAATTTATAACTGATAACTAAGAAGTTTCACATACTATGTATTAACTACCAGGTAAATACAACAAAAGAATATTAAACTTTGGGAAAGGGGAAAGTTTTCTATAAATAAGACACATATATGATATAAACTGATACAATGGCTAGGAAAAACAATTATACTAATTGTATTAGCAGAACTAACATAATGGATTGTGTCTTTTTAAACTTAAGTCTTCCTGTTGAATATATTGTAAGGTGTTTCAGAGAGGTAATAACAACGTAAAGTAATATTCACAGAAAATTTGAACTTTACATTTCAGGTATTCTCTAACCTACAAAGCATGTGTGCACTCTCATATTTCATTATTAATATGTATTTCACTGTGATAGCTATTTATCAGAGAACTTGTTGCAATACAGACAATAAAAAGGCATTGTCAATTGCATACAACATCCCCCAATATGTGTAGTACGAGTGAAATTACTGACTTTGTTCAAGTAAAAAGTGAGATATCCATGATAATGCACTTATGCATAAATAGCAATGTGCATATGTGAGAAAGGATTGTTAACTTTCAAAGGTAATCTCTTTATTCATGAAATTTTGCTATTATTCAAAACTGTGCTTACTTTATATATACCGTCTAAAAGCTGGTTTTTAAAATTAATTTTACCACAAAGAATTGTTTTGTTTTCTTTTTTTTTTTTTTTTTTTTTTTTTTTTTTTTATTTTTTTTTTTTTTTATTTTTATTTATTATA